AAGGGGTGTAGGCAGTGGCATGTGCTCCCTCTGGGGGCCTGACACTAGTGAGAAATGGTTACAATGAGCACCTGGTAAGGTGAGGGGCACTTGACACTGGTGGCTTGGGGTGGGACAGAGGAGTCTTCCCCCCTGCCCTAGCATTTGGCACTGTTTGACATTCAGCTTTTGCGATGGGAGGACTGGCTGACTGCAGCTCACATTTGAGGCAGGTGGTGAGTAGGAGATGGAGTGTGCAGCTGCCAACCCTTCAACCAACTCCTCACCCTGTGTAAGGCGGTTTTGAGCCCCCTGCCCTGTGTGTGTCTATGTCTGTCTGCCCTCTAGGCTACAGCTAGCTTCTACTCTCTGGGTTCCAGGTGTGTGTGTGGGGTTGTGTCTAAACTGATGTCACTGTGAGACTGTCCTGACACCTGCAGGTGGGGGACTGAGGGTTGTAGGCCTCAAAGGGGCAGGAGTACATGGTGGGGGGCGCCCCAGAACTTCTCCCCGACTAGGACTTCAGCTTAAGCTGCCATCTCACCTTCCTCCATTATTCCCAGGGAAAAAAGATTTGGCCTGGGTGGGGCAGAGGGGCCAGATTGGAGAAATCCAGCCAGGGTGGAAGTCTCCAGGTGGGACGGGGCAGGGGAGGCTTGGTTTGGCACCAGTACAGGTAGCCTCCCAGTCCGAGCCGCTGGAGTCCAGGATTTGGGGACACCTGGATGGTTCAGCAGTGAGGCAGGTCCTAGGTGCCAAAGCCTGGCGTCCTCCTTTGGGACGCTCCCCCGACCCAGCTCAAGTCCTTCACTGAGGGAGGTATGGGGTTCTCAGGCGGAGGGGGCGGGGCGGGGCTAGGAGGCCAGGGCGGGGGCAGGGCGGGCCGCTCAGAGGCGATGAGAGGCGGCGCGGGCATGGACTTGAGGCTGCGGCCGAGGCGGCAGGCCCAGGAGCAGCAGCAGCTGCAAGGAGACGAGGACGCCAAGCGACGGAGGGAAGGAGGCTCCGCGGCCACAGTCTGAGGTATCTTCCTGTGGGGAGAGAAGAGGAACGAGTCGGCGCAGGAGGGCAGAGAGTGGCGGAATGGCAGGTCCAAGGCCCCCTTCCCCTTCCCGCTCACCGTTGCGTTGTAGTCAAAGCAGATGTGCGGGCCTCTCCGGTAGCGCGGTCTCTGCACCAGCTCACACTGCTCCGGGCCGTCCGCTGGGCATGAGTGGGGAGTCAAGGAGGCGGTGGCACGGAGGGGCGCGCAGGGAGGGCGGGGGACAGGGGCAGGATACAGTGTGTCTCCTTTTGTAGCAGCCGGCCGGCCTCGCACTGGCTGCACAGCGGCTTCTCCGCCACCACGAAGAGCAGGTTGGTGTTGGTCAGCCTCTGCGCGTGGAACAGTCTGCAGAGCACCGAGAGGCGGGGCCTGGTGGTTTGCCCCGCCCCTCTCCCGCCCCTGCCCATTCGCCCCGCCCCCACACCGCCTGTCCTGCCCTGTGCCAGCACCTGGAGCAATTTCCGCAGTCGATGATAGCGTTATAGGAGGCGTTCACTGAGCCGAAGTAGTACTGGGTTTGTTTCATGACACAGCTGCTCTCACGCGTCTCAGGGCTCCCTTCGGCCTCCGCCGGGTCTGCCGGGCCCAGAGCGCCTCAGCCCCGCCCACAGACCCTGAGCCCTCCTTCCATTGGACTGGGATGAGGGGATGCGAAGCCCAGCCTCCCAAACCCTACCTACCCGCCTGGAACCAGCTGTGGTAGACTAGGCCGTAGAGCAGCTGCTGGAACAAAGACCTGCAGAGCAGAGGCACCGGGTCAGCGGAGGCCGAGGCGTTGCCTCACTTTTTCAGCATCGTTGGGCCAGGCAGTGCCTCTTCTGATTTCCTTCCCGCAGGACTTACCAGGCGGCAGCTGAGGTCCACCAGGCCAGGTTAAGGAAGTCTGCAATGGTGGGCTATGGAGAAAGGGGCATGCGTTGTACTGCTGCCCCTCACCTTAGGTTGCCTCCAGCTCTCCGATGTCAGAGGTGGGGGGGGGCGTCATCTGTGGTCAGGTCTCCCAGCCCGTTTCTTAGGACTCACCACAAAGACACCCCGGGGTGCAGCACCCAAGTTACCAGGGGGCTGGGGGGCACAGGCTGCCTGATAGTCATAAGACTCCTTACGGGTGTAGAAGGAGTTGTTGTACAGTGCCAGCATCAGGTTGGCATCTACCTCACTGAAGAACCTGCCAACCTGGGGATGCCAGGAGGGAGCCATAGTCACAGGGCTGGCAGAAGCATACCCCCATATGCTCTCCTCCTCCACCCTCCACCTCCTGAGCCTTACCTGTTCCCATTGATGGTTCTGGTTTGATAGCACCAGGAACCCCCCATCATCAATGAGGACACAAAGTAGGTCCTGAGAGGTGGGAAGGAAGAAAATGGAGAGGGGGTTGGTCCTAGACCCTCCACTTCGGCCCTGGGCACACCAGTGGTTCAAAGTGTATGTGAGGGCATCCACCATCCTGGTTAGGCTGTAAAGTCAGGGTGGAGCTGGTGAGATGTAAGGCTAGGGGATGGGCTTGAAGTCACGGTTGAGACTAGAAAGTCTGAGAATAAGGGGAGCTGGGGCCCAGGGCATACGCACCTCATTGTTAACCTCACAGTCCATCTCACAATGGCTGTTGGGGCCACACTGCTGGGCAAAGAATGAGGACTGTAAGGCACCCACCACTCTTCTTCTTCCCTCGTGTCAGCCTTCACTTATAAGTTCCCCAGGTCCTCTGCAGTAGCCCCTGCCTTCTGGGAGATGCTGGAGCTACTCCTGAGTGGAAGGCTTGGTAGGGATCCCTGGGGACTCCAGAAAGGACACTGCCAGGCTTACTCCCTTCCGCTCTCATACCTTCTGAGGCTGGTCCTGGTGGGTACGGTTACTGGCAAGCACCTTGAACTTCTCAGCCCAAGCCTCTAGGTCCAGCTTGACGCCCACCACTGTGTGAGAAGGGAAGCAGCAGGCTATCAGTGCTACCTGACTGGGAAGCATCCTGCTCACTGCTTCCCTCACCTCTGTCCCAGGCATTCACCTGCTGGCCTCAGTGTGCGCCCACTTAGGCTGAGCTCCACAGCCGTGCTGACAAGGACGCCCACTGTGTCGTTCTCCAGTTCCAGGGGCCTTAACAAGGCTGGGGTGGGGTGGATGGCAGTCAGGGGTGGGGACGTGGCCACACTGACCACTCCAACCTGGGCCTACCAACCCAGGGCCAACTGTCGTCTAAGTACCCAACACCTAGCACAGTGTTTGGCACAGCCCAGCTCTTGCTTCACATCTGCCTTGTTTCAGCAGTGCCCTATTTGAGAGGGGCCTTGGAGAGCAGAGCTTAGCTTTGACTGGGCAGCCAGGGATGCTGAGGCTTCCCACCTGCTGCTGGGCACCCTGGGATGCTGAGGCTTCCCACCTGCTGCTGGGCACCCTGGGCAGACACTCACTGTCCTGATGTGGGGGCTTGAAGATATAACCGTGGTTATCCAGGCTGCGGCGGTAGAAGCTTGCATTGAAGGGTTCAGGGTTCTCTGTCCAGTCCTCAGCTGCCCTGGAGCACCCAAGGGAGGCAGAGCTTGGTGGGTAAGTGGTGGTTTCTGGGGGACAGTGGTCCCAGCAGTGCATGGAGGTCATAGGGTAACAGAATAGGGGCAAGGTTGCAGATAGGGTAGGTGTTGGGTAATGGGGTAGGTCACTTACTTGTTGGGGAAGACACGTGTGATGCCACCATCAGTGGCAGCAAACACGGCCAGCAGGCTGTACCTGGGGGCAGCAGGGAGGTGCGGTCAGGCCTGCCTTCTGCTGGACAGAGCCATGGCCTCTGGGCCCATCCCAGCCTCCTGACCCTGTAGCCTGGGTGGTGCATACGTGTTGAGATCCTGGTCCCGCCACACACGTTCCACCAGTTGTTGTGTAATGCCTGTGTCCAAGATCAGGTTGTGCAGAAGGAAGTTGTTGCCTGGAACATGGAAGCAGGAGTGGAGGGGTATCTCCTTGTAGCAACTAACCCACCCTTGCTCCCACCCCCAAGGTTCCAACAGGAACTTTGCCTGAGTCTTGGGCCAAGTCCTGGCTTGGGCTTACACCTACATGTTTCCATATCTTCCCAGTATCCATGTTCTTCTGCTTTGCCCCCAGGCTGCCTGGGCACCACCCAAATCCAGCTGCCCTGCCAGACACTCACACTGCTTGGAGTCTGGAGTCACTTTCTCCATGAGTTCAATGAAGTTTTTCAGGAACTCGGTGTTGTTGTCTGAGGCATTCAGATCCTTGCAATACTCTCTGGGGTGGGGTGGGGGGGGCAAGAAGAGTGGGCTTGGGGAGCTGGACAGAGCAGTGGGGTCAAGACTTCCCAAGAGGCCTTCCTGGCAGCTCACTGAGAAGGCTAGGCCTCAGGAAGGGGCTTGTGTGTTCTTCCAGGCTGCAACTGCTATGTGCCTGCAGGCTCCCAAGTCTGAGCTGGGGCAGGTAGAGCTGACACAAGAATGGTCTGCTTGCTCCACTTTGGTGATTCTCCTGGATTTGGCCCTGTAGAACATCTCTCTTGCATAGCTGGACCTAGATAGTGTGCCTGCAAGGCCTTACAAAATGACACCTACATGCCCTGCAGGATTCTTGTAGCCTCAAGGTAGGACTGAGTACTAGATTGGCGTCTGCATTTTGCCTCTTCCTGGCTGTGAACCTTTGGAGTGTTCACTCAAGATTCCTGAGACTCCCTTTTTCGTCATACCAGAGGGTATCACGACTCAGTATGAAATGGGAGACTTCAGGTTGGTTGTTGCTCTTCCCTAAAATATTCTTCCCTGCCAGTGGGCAAGCCAATCCCTCACCTCTTCCAGGTCCTCATTGGGGTCAGGCTCTGAGTCCAGAAAATATGGAGAGTGTGGTAGGGTCTGTTTGAGACTCTGCTGTCCAGAAAGTCTTGGTGAGCACTCCTCTACCCAGATCGATGGAGCTCGCTCTCTTGTGCAATATTCCTGCTATCAGGGACCTCTCTAGTGGCCTGTGTGGCAGCTACGCTGTGGGAATTTTTTTTTTTTTTTTTTCCTAGAACCAGGGATTGAACTCAGGCCCTTGCACTTGCCAGGGAAGCACTTATTCTACTGAGCCATTTCCTTGGCCCCTCTGTGGTAATTTTTAAAATGTGCCACTTCCACGGGCTGTGCTAGGGCTCCTATCTTAGAGGGGAGCTGAGAGTGAGTCTTAGCCCCTACTTACTCCCCAGTCCCTAGGGCTGTTATGCAGTGTGCATCCTGTGCCTCTGTGCTTGGAGGCCATACCTGATAGTCCTACAGTGACAACCTCATGGCTGTATTCCAGATACACCACACATACAGTAGGTACGTTCACAACTGTGGGGTACTTAATTCACTTACCCTACCCATATTCATTGAGATCTCCTGAGCCAAAGACATAGGTGACAGAAACACAGTCTTGTCCCTCAGAGAGGGACTTCAGGGTCACATGGGTCACACACATTCCCACAGTCACTAATACACAGAACCCACCCATGTTTATACTTTGTCTTTTTTTTTTTCTTCTGAGACAGGGTCTTGCTATGTAGTTCAGGCTGGCCTTGAACTCACAGTGATCCTACTGCCTCATTCTCCCAGAGTGCTGAGATTACAGGCATGCGCCACCACACCCAACGCTACACTCTGACTCTTATACATGAACACAACTCACAGATACATACACACATCTATAGAGAGAATCACAGAGAAGGCAGTGGGTGCATGCACACATGTGCATATGCACGGAGGTCTGCAGTGCCCAGAGCCCCCGTGTGGTGCTAGAGTATGTCTGTCTGTTGCACCTACCTGCCCTCATCCATAACCCAGGTCAAAGAGGGCTTCAGCAACCAGGGCCCTGGCCTCCTCAGCTGTGGGCCAGAGGCAGTGTATGCTCGAAGATGTGTGTGCATGCTGAATGTGTGCTCCAGGGCTGGCCCAGCCTGGGCTGGCCCTAGGCCCTGACCCCTCATTTATAGAGCAGCTCAGAGCCCCTGGCTTCCCTCCCTCCCATTTGTCCTCTATTCTCAGTGAATCACCAAACCTAGGCTCGGCACTGCTGGCACTGCTGACAGGGGCTCTGGCTGGCTCAGCCCCCAGACCCACGCAAACACTGACAGACAAAGGACAACGATGGGGTACAGATGGGGGGATAGGCAGGACACCACAAACCAGAGCAGCAGCTGCCTAGCAAGGGACTCCTTCCTGGTGGCCTGGAAGGGCAGGGAAGGTGAGCAGAGTCCAGAACCCTCTTGCCCCAGGCCTGATGGGAGATGGGCTGTGGGCCACGGGCCCCTGCTGCCTGGTGCGGCTACATGGCCTGGGTATGTACACAGCCGCACATACCAGGCTATGTATGAAGGTTGTGGAAGGGGCCAACACTGCACAGGACACAGACACACAGAGCTCCAGGCAGCGGTGCGGGAGGTGGGCCAGGGCGATTGGGGTAGGGGAGGACACCTCAGCAAGGCCACACGCAAGCTACCTGGGAGCAATGAAAACATGTCCTTCAGACTCAAAGCTGCTGGGGAGCAGGAACTCAAAATCTGCAACAGAAATGGGGGGTTATCCGGCGGGGGCTGGGGAGGCAGGAGGCTAGGGGAATCAGAGCTGCTAGGGCTGGAGGGCAAGGAAGAGGGTGGCTTGAGGGATGGGGAGACACCAGCAAAGAGGGAACCCGCCACTTCCACTTTCAGGTTGGAGCCAGAGAGAAGGGACAGGTCATGGGTGGAGGGCCTGTAGAGACTATAGCATCACAGGAGGAGGCAGTTATAGCCAATATGTTGCCCGGGCCTGGTCCTCTGTCGGCAGTGATCCCTTGGCGTGGCTGTATATGCTTCCATACTGCTGTATAGCACATATACACGGACACACACACACACACATATATATACACACACTGCTATATATATGCATGGTCTGGGGGAAGCGCCAGTCTCGCTTATATTACATCCATAATGGGAAAAACCACATGCTGAGCTTCCTTTGCCTCCAAAGAGACTTTGAGGAAGGGAATTGGCTTTTGGCTGTGGATTTTTATCTTTGCCGCAGCTGTTTGTATTTTGGTAGTTCTTGCTTTTGTTCTGTCAGGCATCAACATGGCCAAACCGAGGGGTTTCTCATGGGCACAGACAGTCCAACCAGAGACATGTGGGAAGCTGGAGGTGGACGGCAGTGCATCATGGGGGTCTGGGGGTCCTCTCTGGAACTGAGTGTTGGTGGCACCTGCACACCTGCTTTCCTAGGTAGGGAGCATGAGGAGAAAGTGGGGAAGAAGTGCTGTATCTCCTTCCTTCCTTGGCAGGGTTGGGCTCAGAGCAGCAGGGAAGAATGCTGGAGGTGCCTGTGGAGCAGTCCACCAAGTAGGCATTGTCCTGGGTCTATGAGCTGTGCACACATGTGAACACAGGTGCATGAGTGTATGTGTATGTGCATGTGCATGTGCATGTCTTTGGATAGATCTGTAAGTAAATCTGAGGATGTGGCCAAAGAGCTTCACTGTGGATAGGGCACTGTGTTGGTCTGCCACTGGGAGGGGTCCCTCTGCCACTGGCCTATCACTCTAGGCAGTCCATTGTCCTGTTTTTGCCTACATCCCAAACTCTCTCTCTTTTTTTTTTTGCAGAACCGGGGACTGAACTCAGACCCTTGCGCTTGCCAGGGAAGTGTTTATTCTACTGAGCCATCTCCCTGGCCCCACAAACTCTCTTTTGTGCAGAGGAGGTTATTATTTTTTTTCTGTTCTCAGATACTCCCATGATGCACTGCAAGGGTCTCAGCAGGGAAGACTTGGGATGCTTTGAAGGGCTGGGCAGGTCACTGGTTGGACTGTTCCTTTCTGATAGGACTATGAGGTAGGGTTTGTACACAAGCCAAAGGGGAAGGGGCAGAGGGCAGGGAGAGGAGGAGGAGGAGAAAGAAAAGGGGTGAAGGAGCAGGGAGGGAGACTAAACTATGGTTGCCACGGTTACCAGGGACCTGTAGTTCTGGGGTCACTGGGTTGGATGTGGGGGACCAGGAGAAAAAGACAACTCAAGGCAGTGGGAGTAGGGCACATCCTCCAATTCCACCCAGACCAGTGGGAGTGGCTGTATTCCCTCTTGCTGAACTAGGCCTGACAGGGCCCCTAGTGCATTTTGAGGCGCTCCTACCTTCAGCTCAGGAGGACAATCCCTTGTAGCTCTGCATGTCTGATCAGTCCAAGTTTTCTGTGAGAGGGTAGCCCTTTCTGCACTAATGGCAGGGACCTTTGTGTGCCATCTCCTCTCACCCTCATAGCCTGGGTGTTACTGCTCACCTTTCTGGAAGTTCTCTGGCTAGGGTACCTCAAAGAGACAGGCTCCTTTTCTTCATACCTAGTTTGGTTTCTCCCAAGTTCTTTTGCTGATCCTTGGGGTCTCATTCTGTACCTGGCCAGGTTCACAGTCGTTGAATCTACCTTTACCTATCCAGGGGAACACGTTTTCCACACTTGCCAATCCTCACTAGGAACAAGCGTGGTACTGTGGGTGGGGCTGGGCCAAGGGGTCTCAGCAAAGCCTCTGAGGGCTGTGGGAGGCAATGGAATCCAAAGCCTTAGTACCTTGGCCAGTGCCTCGCTCATCTGTGGCCTGGCTGCCTGCCCCACGTGCCCCTCTGCCCTAGGGTGTTCTGATCTTTTCTGTCTCCATTCTTGAGGGCTGCCAGCTTCTGGAGCCACTGCCAGAGATCAGAAGAGGGTGAGCTGGGCCAGAGGGAGCCTCGAATAGGCCTCTCTGAGGGCTGATCTACCTCCTATGCCTGTATCTGGAGCCCTTCCCTTGCTGGGTGGAAGGGGGTGGAAATTCACCCAGCCCTACTCCCGCTGTTGAGTTGTCTTGGAGGGACAGAGGAGGCAAACTGGATGGGGGCAGAGCCTTCCCACAGGAAGAAGGAGTACAAGGATGAAGCCTGAGCCCTCAGATACTTCGGAGAATACCCTGCAGGCAGGCCCAAGTAAAGGGCCACTGGCTCTAAGCTGGGATAGGAGTCAGAGGAAAGGCAAGAACTGAGGAGCCAAGGGATACTGGGAGGGGAGCCCTGGTGGGCAGGGGTGTGGCTGGTCCTGGGCAGGGAGGGGGGCAAGCAGGGGTGTGAGGGCAGGTGGGGTGGGGAGAGGAGGGTGCACTGGTTCTGAATATACTTGCCCTTCAGTTTGCTGATTGGCACTGGGACAGTCCACCAAGAGAGAAAGCGAGGAAAACAAAAACACAAACACAAAAACAAACGAAAAGGGGGAGGGGAAGGGGAGGGGCACAAACAATATTTTATTCAATGACTGTTTGAATGAAAATATTGTGTCTCATCATCATACCGAAAGGAAACTTCTTGCAAAAAAACGACATGAGAGAGAAAGAGAGAGCAAGGAAACTCAAAGGAGATGAGCCCCAATCGGCCAGGCAGGTGGGGGGCACCCGGTGGGGCCGGAGCCCCAGCCTCCCTCCCAGTGACCTCAGGTGGGCGGTGGGTGGGCAGGCGGGGCCAGACCCAAGACCCAGTCCTCTCCAAGAGGCCCAGGGTGAGCATGGCATGCAGGGTGAGGCACAGGCAAAGGAAGGGAAGGAAGGGGGGTGCAGAAGGGAGAGAGATGGGGGAGAGACAGAGAGGACAGTCTGAAGCAATGGAGAGGAATGGAGGGGAGGGCAGGAGGAAGAGAGAGCAGAGCAGAAGGGAAGGGGCCAGAAGAGAGGAGGGCTGACACTGGAGTGCTGGGGCAGAGAAGGGGAAAGAGAGAAACAGAGAAAGAAAGGAAGGGAGGGGAGGTGCAGGTGCAGGTGGAGGGGAGAGAAGATGAAGGAAGAAGAAACGTGGAGGAGGAGAAAGGAGAGTGTGTTGTGAGTACAGGAAGGTCAGAAAGAGAGGGGCAGGAGGGGTGGAAAGAGGAGGCATAGGCGGTGGCCTGTGTGAGGAGGGGGAGGAGGGGAGAGGGAGAGCCACCAGAGGTGGCACCACAGTGGGGAGCAAGGCGAGGCAGGGAGGGGGTGTCTTCCAAGAGTGCAGCCCCCAGGGATTCAGGGCAGGCAGGCTAAGGAGGGAAGACACGAAGTAGGAGAAACCAAAAACAGAAACCTCAACAGAAATCATGAGAATGGTCTGGAACCAAATCTGAGAAAAGGCGAGCATGCAGGTTTCCACAGACTTTTAAAGGCTGGAGCCCCAGCCTGTGGGTGCCTGAGGCTGGGCAGACAGGAAGGGGGCTGTGCAGCAGGCTCTGCTGCCTGGGGCCGGCCAGGGTGCAGGGGCGGAGGCAGGGTGCAGGGTGCAGGCAGGGGCCGGGCCACTTACACTTGACCTGCAGAATCTGGTCGCTGAGGTTAGCTTGGAGGTAGAAGGTGCTATAGGGTGGGAGCACTAGCCCCAGGCTGTGGAGGAGGAGAGGGAGCAATGGTCACTGCTGGGGAGGGGTGGTCTACGCTGGTTCCCCTTCCTCATGGCTGTAGAGCTGGGCAGTAAGGCCCATGCTGTGGCAGCCTCTTTCCTGCCTGGTTGCAGGAAGTTCATGGCTTGGCTGTGGGTACCTTAGAGACAGCAGGGGCCCAGACCTCCACTCCTCTAACTCTTGGAGGCCTCAAAGCAAATCTCTACCCCACCAACCACCCCATCCACCTCCCCCAGTACCCCTCTTTTCTCACTGCAAGCTCCCAAGGGCAGCACATTGTCAGTGAGTGAGCTGTGGGGTGGGTCCTTCCAGGGAGCAGGCCGCGGTCCCTGTGAGAACCAGCAGAGCAGGGCCCATGCCTATGGCAAGAGGCATGCACACACTGGGCCTGGTGTGCACACGTGCCCCTAGAATTTCAGAATGGACCAGCCATGTGGGGCATCGGAAGACAACCGTGTTGGCTGTGCCTGACCTACAGGGAACCTGCCCTGAAGCTGTGGTGCTGGTAGGGAGCAGGCAGCGAAAGTGCTGCGAAGATATCCTGGGGTTGATGAGAGGCAGAGGCATGTGAGGAGACATCCGATGCACTGTCTTATTTTCCCATGACCTGCTGTTTGGGGGACTCAGTATCCCAGGGTGAGCAGTGAGGAGCCTGGCTGCTGGTGTCCCATGGGGTGACAGTCAGAAGAGACTGAGGTGGGCGGAGGGGCAGCTGGGCTCAGACCTGGGGCCACCCCACCCCTCTCTGCTTGCCCAGCCCTGGCCCACTTACCTGTAGTTGGTGCTCCTTATAGGCACCCAGGTGTAGTTCCGAATCACCTCATCTATGTACCTCTGTGAGAGGAGGCTGTGTCAGGAGCTGGGCTAGCAGGTTGGGATGGGTGGGATAGGAGGTTGCCCACTCTGACTCCATGTCTTCCACCCCAGCCTTCTCACCTCATCCAAAGATTTGACCAGTGTTCTGATCTGCTTGTGGCCCTTGTTGCCATCAATCATGCTCCGCCGTATCTGGAAGGGCAGAGCTGTGACCTCCTCTGCTCTCTGTGCCTGTCTCCCTAGCCCTCCTTCCAGTCTTCCTCTTACCTCCTCCTTATTCTCATCCTCCAGCTCTGCATCCAGAAAGTCCAGAGTTACGGGCTCCCGGAAGTTAGTGGTCTGGGGAGGTGGTGCAGAAAGTCAGGTGTTCCCATCTTAGAGGGTTTACCCACCCTCCAGGTAACCCTTCTGGCTTACCTGGGGCTTGAGATTGGGGTGCAGCAACACGTAACCATTCAGATCAATTGCAAACACGTAGCCATTGGCTCCAAGCTGGGGGTACACATTGGAAGCTCAGGGTCCACTCCAGAGGGGTGGACAAGGATTTCCAGGGCTTTGGAAGCTCTTGCCCATTTTATCTCCCACCCTGCTGAGGAGGCCATTTGCCTTGGGCTAAAGCCCCCCCCCCCTCATCTGCCACACGACCCAGGCTGGCAGGCTGGTTGGCCCTAAGGTGCAGCCCTGCCAAGGTATTCTGTCATTCTGAAGTTCCCAGGGAACTGCCTGCCAGCCCCACCCTCCACCTCCCTGGGGCCCATTAGGCTAAGTACAGCCGTTACCACTGCTGCCTTCCCCTACTCACTGCTGTTCTGATTCATGTCTCCTCCTGTCCCCAACCCAGGAGAGCACAGCAGGGGTAGGGTGGGTGGGTGGGGTGGAGGAGACTTCTCCAGGTGGAAGGGAAGTAGGAATGAGTGGGACCGCGGACCTGGCCCTTCCGCTAAGGCAGCTTTCTCAGTATACACGGAGGCCCAGGCATAGGCACTGCCCTCTCAGGGCCAAGCAGGGGCTTCACACAGCTCGGGCCTAAGGGTGCCATCACACATGCCCCATCTCCCACCCTTTCCACAGCCAAGACTCAGGTTCCTTAACCACAGCTCTGGGACACCACACACCACCACACCACTCCCCCGCCCTTTCCCTGGCTCAAGGTTCTGTTTTCTGCCTTTAGGTCTTTGCCCAATGAGTTCTCTATCTTCAAAGTACACCTTCCCCTCCTTCGTACCCAGAATACTCCTGCCAAGTCTGGCCTGTTGGTAGCTATTATAAAGCTGTGAACTAAGAAACAGTTTTCTTCTTGTGATCTTGAGGGTCAAAGCCTGGGCTTTTGACACACGCTGGTCAAATGCTCTGCCCTTTTTTATTTTGATGCCATTTTTCTGCCTCAGCCTCCTGAATAGCTGGATTACAAGTGTGCACCACTGCATCCAGCTCTAAGAATGGTTTTGTTTTTAAGTAGGTCTTTTTTGCAGTAGTTTTTTTTAAAGATAAAAGAATAATTCTATTTCATGATATGTGAAAATGATATGAAATTCAAGTAACAGTCCCGAGAAAACTATACAGGAGCACAGTTATGCCCATGTGCCTGTGTGTTCTCTGGGGCTGCTTTCATACACAGCAGCAAAGTATAAAATGGACGTTAAGCTGGCAAAGCTTAGGAGACTCATGGCTTGGCCCTTTCGAGAGTTTGCCACACCACCTCCAGGGCAAGGCCACCTTCCTGGGAAGCCTTCCCTGATTCCTTGAACTCAGAGGTCTGCATGAAGGTGCCGTGAACCCTATCAGTCCCCTGGGCTGGGCCTGGTTTGTATCCACATGGGAGGCAGAGCAGGGCAGGCGTGAGGTGGACACACACCGTGTAGTTGGGAGTCAGCCTCTTGATGTCACTCAGAGCCACATCAATGCCCATCACACCCAGGATCAGCTGGTTCTGGCAAAAGACGCATGAGGGGAGGTCTGTAATAGGCTGAGTTACACAAGGGAGGTCCCCTGCCCAGGACCTATACCCAAGGCCTCAAGTTGCTCAGGCTCCACCCCTCCTCCATCAGTGGGGGTACCCAACCCTTCCCAGGCATTTCCAACCCTTCCCCAGTGGGAAGCCTCACCTTCTTTTCCCCAGGACCATCTTGTGTCAGGTTGAAAACAGGGAGGGTTCCTGTTACCACCAACCCCAGCCCCTGAACGAAAAGAAGGAGGATGACCAATTGTAGCCTCACCCTAAGAGCTCAGAGCAAGGGTTCAGGTAGAGATCTTTCTCTTCTGCTTGGTTAACCCCAGAAGAGGGTATTCAAGAGTCCCTGGGGAAGGTGACCTGCCCCCCTTCCTTGTGCAGAGGCCTTACCAGTGCATCCTCATACACGTTGGTCCACTGCACCTGCTTGGCCTCCTTGCCAGCCAGCACCATGGGCCTGCCCAACACGTCGAGATATTCCTGGGGAAGGTGCAGCAGGGATCACGTGTCCTTTTTTCTGCTTCTCTGTGCTTACGGATTGTGCCACAGCCACCACCAGAGGGCACTAAACCCATAGCAGCCCAGAGTGACCCAACCAAGGGACAGTAAGAAGTGAAGGGCTGGGAGGAACAGGCTACCCACAAGCTCACCTGTGTGTTGATGCGGATGGCTCCGATGGAAGGAATCTCAAAATAGTAACCTGGGAAGGGAGGGGAGGCAAAGGTGGGCTTGGCTGGCACTGTGTGGACCCACAATACAGGAGGTCCTGCTCTGTGGGGGTAGTTATGCAGTCTCAATTTGCTTCTTAGGTTCCCTCTCTTTTTGGTATCCCTTTGGTATCCCTTTCCCCAGACTCATACTCCTCTGTGCTTCCTGCCATTGCCTTGTCCCTGAAGCCAATGCAACAGAAGATGACCAGGACTAGGGGGAAAAGATGGTGGAAGAAGACTGAGGAAAATGATACCATGTCATTCTAGGGTAGTATAAACATTGAGTCCACCCAGCAGCCAGGCCCAACTGTACACATACATAGAGGGATTGATTGATTGACAAACATACAAAAGCAGATAATCTGGGAGACAGATGGTCAATGGGCAGATAGTCAAATGGGCAAAAGAGGCTCAGTCAGATGGACAAGTTAGACAGCTCACCAGATAACCCATGGATGCCCACAGCTGTGGAGAAATTGACTAGATGAACAGACAGCTGGCTACATGGATGGACAGTGGGCAGCAGGGCCTGGCACCCCTCACACTAACATCGGAAGAGATACCTTTGTTAGTGCAGGCCATCCACTGAAGCGGAGTGACATCATAGTTATGCTGCCCCACAGAGAAGGTGAAGACACGTACCTGTGGGGGAAGAGGGGCTGAGGTTATTACTATAGCTACTAAGGACAGTAGCTTTGTCCTGGACCCTCATCAGGGCAACTTCCACCAGAACCTGGCCTCACCGTCCGATTGGGCCAGTTGTACTTCTCGAAGACATCCTGTACACGGTCCTCACCACCATCCGTGAACATCATGATCATCTTGTTGCAGTTGGCCCGGGTGATGTTGGACTGTGGAGGGGTGAGTGTGGAGTCAGGCAGCTCTCAACTTCCACCACTCGGGGGCAGTGCCCCCCTCTCCTGGCAGGCCTGGCCTTCTGGTGCCCACCCCACGCCCCCAGTAGATGGTGCTATCTGTCCATGTTGCCTGGTTAGTGCTAACAAGGACATCAGTCTTTATTTTCCTATGTCACCAAGCCTGGCTCTCTCCCGCCCCTGCCCCCCCCCGCCCGTCCATCCGTCCGTCCACCCTCGGGGCTCACGTTCTGCAGCTGGTCAAAGGCATACTCAAAGCCAGCCTTGTAGCCCGTGGTGCCCTTGGCTACCATGCCCTGCACGGCTTCCTTGAACACCTTCTTGTTACGCACATTGGCCTGCACCAGGTGTGTGAAGCAAGACACGGGCTGTGCCTTTTCGTTGAACTGCAGGGACAGTGAAGTAGTGAGTAACCTCAGGCCGGCCAGGGTAGGCAGCTGGAGCCAGGGGCTGTAGTGGTCAGAGGCACAGGCCATGTGGGGGTGACCAGTGTCCCACCTGCCTGCCTTCCTGGCACTCACCGAGGCCACGTTCACATAGTCGTCATCAGAGAGAGTGTCCAGCATCTCACAGACAGACGTCTTCATCAGCTTCAGTGTCAGGCCACTCACACTGCCACTCCTAAAGAGGTCAGGCAGGGGCCACTGGGGGCCTCAGGTGTCCGCTTGCCCTTCCCCCATGAGGTTCTAAGCCAGCAGAGTCCAGCCCCAGCCCTGCCCCGGCCCCGCCTGCCAGCACTGCTCACTCACACGTCCACGATGATGACCATGTCCTTAGGTGACGAGGCCCCCTGGATATACCTGCCCAGGAGAAACTCATGGAGGGCCAGTTCCCTAAGACATCCCTGGTGGGCCCATCCTTCCATTACCCAGAGTGATTCACATATTTCTATGGAGTGTCCACTGCCTGGGCCATACAGGGTTCAGGCACTGGGGAGGTCATGCTTAATAAAACAGGCAGTCACAGCCCACCAAGAAAGTGATCTACTCCTTTGGCAAGTAAACAGCTCCAAGGGGCAGGTGAGCAGGTGGGCCTCTGACTGAAGGGTGTGTTGTGTTCTCTGGCATAGCTGGAGGCCCAAGGGTGAGTCTGGCTGTGGATAGGATGAAGCAGGGAAAGTCCTGGGGTATTGCAAGAGGGGCAGAGGGTGGGAATCTCTAGTGGTCCAGTGGGTGGGGCTACATCCATTTTGGGAACACCCCTACTTGTCTGCTCTCTTAGTTCCAAAAGGGTGAGTGTACTGGGTGATGGAAAGGGGCAGCAGCAGCTGAGAGGGCTGCCTGGGTGATGGGATCCATTTTCCAGTGGCAATGATGTGTGAAATGAAAATTGGATAGAGCTGGCTGCGCCCTGCTCAGAGGCCTGGATATTGGGAGGGAGGGGAGAGGCACAAGTGAGGTGCTGAGGAGGTGCCCCTGCCTAGCCCCTCTCTGCTGGCTCACCAGGGTCTCCTGCGGACGTCATACAGGTCAATCTTCTTGGGGGCTCGCCAGGAGGTGGCTGTGCAAGAGAAAGGGTGATGGCACTGGCAGAGAAGGGCTCAACCCAGGCAAATAGGCCTTACAGGAACGGCCATCCTACCCAGCGCAGCCCATGATGGGTGGCTGGGAATGGAGCAAGGCGAGGTACTGGATGGACAAGGCAAATGGACTGGCACCTGCCTGGATAGTATCGGGTGACTCCGGTGGCGCTGCCGAAGACCTGCCACAGCAGTGTAGGGTCCTGCCTGCGGTTCTCGATGAACACATTCTCCAGGGCTTCTGTCCAGTTGAGCTCATTGAGGATGACAGTGGCTGGGGTTAGGGGAGGAAAGGAGCTAGGCTGGGGTGGCCTGGGTTGTCCCTTGTCTTACACACCACCGTAAAATCCACATCTAAGCCCCCATCCAGAAGGCCTAGCTGCTCTCTGAAGACTTTCTCTCATTTCCTAGGGCCCCAGCTAGGCTGAAACCAGTTCCCCCAGGAAGATTCCTTGTCCTCACCCTTCAAAGCTGTTGAAGAAACAGCTTAGCTTACCCCTTGGTTAGGTCCCACATGGGGCCAGGGCAGCTGCGGCCGGTGGCCCCTGGAGAGGCCCTGCCCAGGTGGCAGGGAGGGTGACCTGGGCCCCTCATCCAATGCACTGCCTGGAGCTCGTAGCTGATCCCGAGGGAACTCACCCACTCAGCATGCACTCCAGGCCGCAGCCACAAGAAAGCAATTAAGGGCCCACTGATGGGGCTGGAATTATTCAGCTATTAAAGTACCTGATAAGCTGGAAGCCACTCAGCTCCATGATTAATCAACTGGGGCTAGGAGCAAGCAGGGGCATAGGTGGGGGCTGCTGGAGGGGCAGAGGTGGAGCTGGGATATAGGACGTGCACTTGCACACACACCCCCACACAGTGTGCACACACACTTGTATGCATGTATGTGAGCAGCCTGCACCCCCTTGCATCTGACCTCTGTGTTTCCAGCCAGACGTGTGACCACCCCCCAAACCTACCTCCTGGTAACATCCTGGTTGCATGGGCACAGGCACTCACACCCAGATGCCCGTCTGCACCTACAGAAGTCACCGGTGGGACCTGCTCTCACAACCCCACCATCTGTCCCCCCACCCCTAGTGACATGTGTGTGATTCCCTGGCCAGGCCCACTCCTCTTCCCCTCTCAGAGGACTGGCCTCCACTCCGCTAGCCCTTCCAATAGGCAGATCTGAGTGTGCCTGTGTGCATGGGGTGCACGTTACATATGTGCAGTGCCCCATCCCTCGACGCTCAGAATACATAGGAGAGGACACCCACTCCTGTGAGGCTCACCCCTCCCTCAGGGCCCTGTTTCCTTCAGTTTCTTCCCAGGTCAAGCTGCCACAACTGATCACCCTCACTGTGATCTTGCCCATCTAGTGAGAACCAGAGGGGGCCTTGTAAAGGCTCTGCTCTTTTCAGAGAAGACAGTTGTGATTTACAGTTGCTCTGCTGAGGCCCAGGGGGCCTGAACAACCCCCTCCCTGAAATGAGGGATCCACTGTGTCTGTGCCCAACTTCTCCTCCCTCTGCTCTTGCCCCCTTCTCTGTCCCTGTGACTCCCTGCAATTGGCCATAACGTGAAAACAGAACACATTTCTAGCATTGACTCTGCCTATTGAACACTATGTTATGGTCCTGTTCCTGATTTAGAAACTTAGTGAGTTGAATAATATCTATTTTTCTCTTCAAGAAAAAATAAAGTCAGGCCCTCCAATATTTTATGTGGTGCTGTCTGCTCTGGGAGCTGGCGAGCACACCCACCTGTCACTGGCCTTGGTCTTCCCCTATGAAAGGCAATGGCTGGGTGTCCCTGGCTCAGCTGAGGAGCCACAGGCAACTCCCGCCCTGAGTGGGATATCTTTCCAGGTATCTGTTACCACACACACGTAAGCACCCCTCCACCAAAAGGTCCCGCCACCCCGCCCCATATACACACACATACCCACAGGCACACAACCTCAGATCATGCTGAGTTGGGAAGCGGGGACCATGCCCCCTCAGGCAGGCGATTACAGATTTAATTAAAAGTGACACAGTAAATAAAAAACATATAAAATGTAATTTGTGTGGGTAGCGAGGGGTGACTGGGGAGGGCGGGGCGCCTCCTGTTTTAATTAGTGTGCCTGTCTGTGATAGTGCCCCTCAACTGGCTCTGGCAGGTGGGCTGAGGGCAGCCTGTGGGTGGCAGGGGAAGCATCCTTCCTTATGTCCCCCCAAAGGTACCCAGAAGGCCTATCTGACCCTGAGAGTAGAGGGGGGTTCTGGGGGTTTCCTATACTCTCAAGCCTAAGAAATCTCTTTGGTACCTTTTCTCCAAGATCCTCAGACCAGTGGGCCCCTAGAATTCTGAAGCTGCACTGTAGGTTCCAGTAGGACTGTCACAACCAACAGGCCCCAGTGCCTTTAATCCTGCTGTTTGAGTTGCTCCTCATGTTCGACCCTTGGTCCCATCTCACTAAACCTCCCAAGATATTCAGGAAGTTCCTCCTCATATCTCACTTGAATCCTTCCAGCTGTAGCAATATGGCTTCTCCATTGTGCAAAGCTGCCTGTGATGGGGCTGGGCATTTCAGTCACCCTTTTAATCCCTTTCCCTGTACCCCACCCCCTGGCCACTTGGGGCTAGAAACCATCACCCATACATTTGTGAGTGAAGAGTGGCTTCCTTTCCTCTAGCTCCTAGCTCTGTAGCTTCTCAGTTACTCCTAATAGGGGCAGGGAATAGGGCATGGTGGTGAGGACCTGCTTTGGGAGACTCAGCACTGCATGTGGGGAAGTCTGTGCATGCCTGCACATACGTGTGTATATGTGCATCTGTGCATACATGCACTTGTGTGGGTCTGTGTGCCTGTGGGCTGGAGACTGCACACACAGGTAGGAGGCTCAGTGCTTTGCAGCCTGTAGAGGGTCTGCAGGAGGCTCTCTGCCTGTGAGTGGCTGGAAGTCTGCATGTGGGTGAATGAGATGTGAGCCTGTGTGACCTCAGGAATGGGGGCTGCAGGTAGATGGCACCGAGATTGTCTGGACAGAGGGGCTTTGTCCCCAAGGCAGGTGAGAAGGACCAACACAATTGCATGACACACTCACAGCCTTTGTAGATGTCTGTGGGTATCTGCACAGCCGTGTATGAATAGTTGACTTTGTTCTTGAAGTTTGGGTCCTCGATGAAGTCCAGCCTTAGGCTGCTGCTCTTGGACCCTCTCTCCACGTCCTCACTCTCAGGGTCATCCTGCAGAAGACCCCCACCCCACCCCAGCAGTGTCAGGGCTGGAAAATGGTGAGTGGGTTGGACAAGCCTGCAGGCATGGGCAGGGGCAGGGGCAGGGGCAGGGGCAGGGGCAGGGGCAGGGAGGGCCAGAGTCCAGGAAGCAGGGCCATCTCAAGGGCAGGGGCTATTGCAAAGATAAGAAATAGATGGTGAGATACAGGGGCAGGACATAGGGGATGGACTGCTCACCCCACCTTCCATCCATGAGTCCAACTCAAATTCTAAAAACCAAAACCAAACTGACCCTTTTCCCGCATCCTTGAAAACACTTATTAGTGAAGAAGGCAAATAGTGAAGCAAATCAGAGGAACAGGCAGTAGATTTCTTCTCACAAGGATGTGCCTTGTGCCATCACAGGGAGGCCTCTGCAGTCCCTTCAAGGATCTCTGTGCCCCCACAGGGTCCTGCCCATCTCCTACATGGAGTTCCTTTGGCACTAGGGAGAGGACCCTAGTCCCACCTGGGGCAGGGATGACACCCTCTGCAGCACAGCAGCTCTAGGAGTTGAACTGGGGAGCCCCCCCCAGAGCTGGGCCTGGGTGGGGACTAGCACTGAGACCTGGTGACTCCAGAAGGAGGGTTTGCCGTGTCTGCTACCAGCAGGACTGTAAGGGCCCCTGTTGATTTTCTAAAATGAGCCACAGCTGCCTGACAGGTGCCAATTATGGTATCATGTGGCCAGGCAGGCTAGGCATGCGCCATGTGCCCCCGCCCACCACCACAGGCTGGCAGGAGTGGGTCTGTGACTAGTGTTGATGCCGAAGCTCAGGCGGGGGCAGGCTTGGCTGCAGGTGTGTAAAGGAGAGGGTGGAGGTAGACAGTGAAAGCAAAGACAGGGAAAAGCCAAACAGGGAGGCAAGGGAGAGATGGAGACTGAGGCAGGGAAGGAAGCAGAACTGAAGACTTTGAGCCCTGGGAGGAAGGTGCCTAAGCAGTCAAACCCCACCCCACCCTGTGAGCAGCCCTGCTCAAGCTCGGCTCATTTCTTTACCCATGCTCACAGTGTCCTGGCAGGCTTGGGCTAGAGCTCTCCCTCTGTGTCTGCCTAGCCTGTGTCTCACCTGGGGAGAGGATGACTGTGCCTCTCTACCCAGCCAGCTGTAGAGACATTATGCTGAAGTGCCCTTTTCATCTCCTCAGCGTGGGTTTTGTTTTATTTTTATGGTGGTAGGGTCTGAACTCAGGCCCTCCTTGAAAACACTACCAGCAAATATGGCTGTTCTATAGCCCTCCCATTCCCCCACCCAGTATGCCACCCTCTGCCTACCCAGAGCCCCTGGAGTGGGGTAAAGCCAGGGTAGAGAGCCGCTGAGCACCCAGACCAGAGCAGGGGGCCAGTGGTCTGTGAGGCATGTGGCAGTCACATTCCACATAGGGGAGGGGGAGGCGCAGGAGAAGAAAGCCCTGAAATGTCAGCAGCAGATGAAGGGTGCTGGAAAATTTAATCTCCCAACTTTCCCAACTAATGTGACATTTGGATTCTGTTCTGATAAGCTATCAGCTGGCGAACTTTTTCCTTCCTTCTCTTTCCCCCACCCCCACCTTCTGGCTGGTAATTTAAAAGTAAATGGTCTAGAAAGATCTCTAACTGTACCTCTGGCAAAGATTAAAAAAACAAAACAACACAACAAGCAGGGGAATCAGCAAATGTGTACATGCTGTTATTTATGCCAGGCTCTGGCTGTCACAGCCCAGCCCTGCCCCCGCATGAATCTCCTGGACAGGGCGGTTCCTGGCAGCCAGTAGATGGCCAAGGAGCTGGGGTAGAGTCAACAGTGTAGCTCCATGGGCTGGGGTCCTGGATGGAGTTGGGGACTGCTAGGAGCAGGGAGTAAAGAGTGTCCTGGGAGTGGGCAGGCTACCAGGCTGGCCACAGAGCCTGTCATGGCCACCCTGAGGCTGGGGGTTTGTGTGGTGGGCCACTGCAGTCTCCTGGTTTATATTTAATGCACTGATTGCTAAAATTACAGCCCGCTGCTGAGGGGGGTAAGGAATTAGATTCAGGGTCTAATTAAAGGTTCGTTCTTCATTTGAATTTCAGATTCCAGCTTTAATTTTAGCAACTTCTCCGGGAGCCACAGAACTCAGCCAAGGGGAAGCACACCTGCTTGAGCCCACCCTCCTCGGCCTCTGCCCTCCCTAAGGCTCTCTTGGCAACTTGGATTCTCTGACCCTGCTCAGGGATCCTTTCTAGTCTTCCCCTTGTCATGTCTTGAGATACCTCTGGCTAGCCACAGGAAAGCCCCCAAGTCTTGGGCCTGGGAGAGGAAGACTGGATCTTCGACTTCTGCAAAAGCAAGCACAGGTGGTTCCCCAAGACTGTGCCACTGGAACACCTCTGCCTATATGGGGGACAACTGGGTCCAGCAACTTTGTCTTGAATTCAGGCAGAGGGACTTGGGCCTTGACAAGTCCAGCAAACCTTGGCTAGTCCAAGCACCAGTGCCCTCGGACCCTCTTGTCTGTAGCCACCTATATCTTTCACTGAGTCCTTTGGTGATGTGAAACTCAGTACCTCACTGGAAGCCCAAGTAGCCTTGAGCCACAAAGACATGCAGTGAGAGACACAGAAGCAGAAAAGCAGTATGGCTCAGGCCAGTGCCACTGTTTCCAAAGGAGATGGCCCCAGCTGAGCTGAGCCTCATCGGAAGAATGGGTATAGGAGCTGGTCTGCCTCTTTAGCTGTGGCCGTATGACTTAGCTCAGGACCAAGCATTAACCACAGAGCCAGCCTGTGGGGTGCGTAGCATACTGAAGCTGTGCTTGCCTCATCGCAGGGAAGGGAGGCTTGTCTGGCTTGGAGAGGCACCTGGATGTGTGCGTGCTCTCTCCACACTCATGGAATTTAGCCCCTCTCTGGAGTGGGGTCTGACGTGCTCTGTGTACGGAAGCTGGAGTGCCTGTCATCCTGCCCAGGGAAGGGACCATGCTGCCACACAGTGTTGGCTGCCACAGTGTTGTGCAGTCCATTTGAGGCCATAGAGACACCACCCTGGAGATGTTGGGACCTCTAGGGAGATGTAAGGGGCAGCGAGGGGCAGGGACTGCGGCACACAGCTCTGGAGGGCTGATCTCAGAATACTGAGTGCTGAGTCATGACATCCATTTTATAGCTGAGTCTACTGAGGGCCAGAAGAGGGGTGTGTGGCCCTGGCAGCTTAGGCAGGGGCACTTACCAGCTCAGCATCAGCCTTGGCATCATAGTATATGATGTCTTCCTCCTGGTGAAGGGAGAAAGGCCTTAGCATCCACCACGTGGGGGGTCCTGAGACACAGCCAGGACCCCAAGAGTCCTCTAAGGCATGGACTGTCCCCTTTCCCCATCCGGAGCTGTCCTGCTGGAGGGGCTGGATGAGTCGGTGCTGGTGGTTCCCCACCCTAGTCCTGGCCAGGCCAGTCCTGGGATGAAGGGCACTAGGTGGCAGCCCCATGGGAAGCAGGGTCAGAGCTCAGCCTGGCTGCAGAGATGCTGCTGAGGCAGGACAGGGTGCGAGGGCGATGGAGAGACAGAGCTGAGCTTGGGCCACAGTGCAATAATGACTCGACGCCGCATCTTCCAATTTCTTCTATTAAAAAGCCTGCTCATTACGGGCATGTACTTATTAATTATCTGTGATTTGTTGTGAAATGCAAAGGGTTTACACAACAGGAGCAGGAGAAAACAAAGCCCGGCCTGCACGCCTGCCTCCTGGCCCTGCCTGCCTGTGCCTGCCGGTCCTCATGGCCTATGCCTGCTGCCTGGGTTCCTGGCCATCTGCGCGTCATAATCACTGGCTGCCCTGGGGACCCATAACACAAACGGGCTAATTTCATGTTTAATGATCTTTAATCAGAACTGAGTGTGGCTGACAGAGGCCGCCAGAAGGTGAACCTGGTGTCAGCAAGTGCCACCTGCTCAGGAGGGGCCACCCCACCCTGTCCTGGTGGGCTTAAGGGCCAGGGCCACTGTCCAGTTCACCCTCCTTAGATGAACTTAAGCCCTATTTTGTACAGCAAAATTCTGCAGTATGGGCCTTCAACTCAGCAGGTTTCTTTGCCCACCCTTCCTTTCTAATTCTGTACTTAGGTTTATTTTTATTTTTATTTTTGCCATGTAGTTCAGGCTAATCTTGAACTTATTATGTAGCCCAGGCTGGCCTCAAACTTGCAGTGATATCATGCCTCAGCCTCTTGAGTGCTGGGATTACAGTCATGGGCCACCATCACTGGCTATACTTAAATTTGAACCCTGGAATTTCACACTGAAAGCTACATCACCAGCCCTTTTATTTTTATTTATTTATCTTTTTACAATTTTTTATTTTATTTTTTTTTATTTTAGGGAAGGGTCTACAGGGCATTCAGGGTCTCACTATTAGATCAGACTCATAGTGATCCGCCTGTTTACTGCCTCCCAAGAGCTGGGATTACAGGTGTGCACCACCACTCCCAGTCTCAATTGCTGTCTCAGCATGCCCTGGGGGTGGGGCAGGCATGGCAGGTCCGGGGATCCAATCCCTGGCCCCTGCGCCTGCTTGCAGGCATTTTAATCTGCTGAGCTATTTGGCCGGCCCCTATCTTTTTACAATTTTGGGAGAGGGTCTTTCTAAGTAGCTAAATTGCCCAAGCTGGGGTCAAAATTTAGATTTTCTTTCTTTAGCTTCCAAGAGCACTGGAATTAAGAGGCATACACCACTACAGCTGTCTCTTTGCAGCCTATAAACGGGTGTGACACCAAGTCAGCTCCCTGTTGTAAGACAGCAGGGGCCAGTACTGGGGAATGTTCCAGTGAGCTTTGGGGCTGAAGGCTTCTGGTCTAAACATTCTGGAACAGTGACTGCATGCTGAGCACCATGCTTGGGCACAACCACAACCTCCCTAAGAAGACCTTCCAGAGTCTGCAGCACTTACTATGTGTGCCACTTCCTCACAATAGTCCTGTGATGTTAACATACAGATGCTATCAGGCCAGGGCAGGGAAAGCTTTGTCCCCTAGCTCTGACCTGTTCTCTTAAGTCCTCTCCAACCTCACCCACCCCCTGCCACCCAGTCACCTGTCCAGGGAGACTGGGACCAGGTGGCCCTGGTGGGGGGTTGGGGTAAGGGCCCAGGCTCCGGGGTGCTTGGCCTTTCCCTGCGCCGGCTCCGACTGAAGCACATAATGAAAGCTGACATTACATCAAACACAATAAGGAGTTTCGGTTGATGAAGATCATTCCTGAACACACAAACCCATTAAACCGAGGGGGAAAAAATATCAATTCAACACACTCACAGGCGAAAAGAAAATGTGATTTGTTATCTAAAAGGGGGTTATAAACACGGCTCTGATGCTCTTTCCCTTCGTAATGAAAACAGACGGGCATGGTGGGAGGACTGCAGATTGCAGCCTGGTGCTATATTGTGTACCAACTTTTTAGGCAACGCTTTTGCAAGGACAGGAAAGGGCACAGGTGGGGGGCTGGTCACTCACGCCCCCAGGATCCCTGGGTTCCCCTCCTGGGCTTGGCTGTGACCTGCCCGTGCTTGGGTTATCCCTGGGATGCTCTGGAACTCACATGGATCCCCACTCCAGCTGCTCCAGTGGCTTTCCTCTCTACCTGTCCTATTATTTCACAGTTTCAGTGGAAGATTGGGTGTTGGTGGCATTGGAGATGAAGGGGGAAATAGTATACAGGATTCTCAGCCTCCTGTACCCCCCACTGGGCTCGGTGCATGTGATGTGAGCAGGACTTATGTCACCCATCTTGCTTTGAGGAGGATCAGGCCATGCTTTTTAACTGACAGGGAGGAGCAGTAGCCAGTGGTGGGCAAGGTCATGAAAATATACTCTGTAAACACAGCTGTGATGCTGTGTGTGACAGGATGTGAGCTGGTGATGTGGTGGGACAGGGCAGCAGGCTGGAGAGGAAGGTTCCTAGGCAGGCCTCTGTGCCTGCTTTGGCCTGCACAGTGCCCTAAAGTCCAAATCAGTGTCTCACTTCCTGGTTACACATCAAGGAAGCAGTACTATGTAATAAATCAGTGCAGTGGCCTTGGCAAAGGTCCTGGGTTCAAATTCTGGCCCAGATACCTATGAACTCTGAACAGGGAGTAAAAGCTGAGGCTCTCAAAGGCCTCCACCTAAGGAGTGCACCTAAGAGCTCTTGGGAACCACCCCCATCTCACTAATCAGTGAACTGAGCCAGGAACAGCCTTGGTTCAGTCTCACACTACCTTATCCTAGTCTCAGTTTCCCCTTATAAATCAAGATGATGATGTCTCCTGTGGGGGCATGAAGAGGTCAGGGACTTGCAGAGCTGGCTTCACCACAGGGCAGAGTCCAGCCTAGCCTCAGTGGACCCTCATGCAACTTCACAGCCTACAGCAGGGACTGGACATGGAAAAGACCCTGGATGGGGTGACATGGGTGTTCTTAATGCCTGAGGTCTATATGGTTGACCCCCACCCTGATACTTTAGGGATGATTTTTCTCACACTAGGCAGGAGTTGGGGAATTACCTTACACCCCAGCTCATACACGTGACCCTCAACATGGACCTGTACACATGTGACAGGCTGGGTGTGCACCTGAGTACATGACACAGCCATACCTTAGCAGGAGCTAAGCCCATGGGGCGCAGGGGACAGACAGAAAAAGGGAGGTGAGGGTGAGCAGGGGAGTAACAGTTGTCATCCAGCTTTGCTGCATGCACAGTGGCTGCCAAGGCTGGCCAGACACGGCAGTCGCTCCCATCAGACCCTGTGTAGGGCCCTGGCCAGCCACTTGGCTGCACGAGTGAGCAGGCTTGGCCTGCCTGGCCTGGCTTACTGCCAACTCTGTTCAGCCCAGAGGACTGTTTTCTGAGAGTGCCGTCTGTCGCCGGCTTGGCAGAGAGGCAGGCAGTGGGCTCTACGGCTGGGTCAAACCCTAAGGCCGAGAAGGCCACCTGTCCTGGCCAGCCAGCTCTTCAGCCTGGCCCTGCCTTCAGAGCCCTCCCTTTAGGTCCCCTAGGCAGAGCTATTTCCCCTATTATGCTCCTAGCGAATAGTCTTATCTCCTACTGTAGGTCCTGGTGTTGGTACTGAGGCCCTGAGGCCAATAGCTTCTCCTCTCTCCCCTACCCAGGCCTGGGCCAGGTCAATCCTGGGGGTGGTTTAGGTGGCACAGAGTGCTGGCATGGTGTAGTGTTGGCATCAGGCACTGTCACAGGTGGCCCACCTTCATCTACCCTAAGTGCTATAGGTACAAAAGCACCTGCTGCCTGTCTGCAGGACTGTGAAGGTGCTGCCTGCTAATCAGGGCCATGGTTTCCCTAGAGTGTAACAGTCTGGGTAGGGCTGTGCTACAGGTTATATGCCCCTACCACGGCCAAGGGTGTGAGGGGATGGCCTGAGGCCAGGGGCAGGGTAGGGGCTTTTACATTCAGATGTCATCCTCTTATTTTGTCCCATCTCTGACCCACAGATTTCAGTATCTCCCAAGTCCTGGCTGGTGTGTGTGAGTGTGTGAGTGTGTGTGTGTGTGTGTGTACCATTATTGTCTGTCCCTCAGACATGTGAATGCATAACTGGTGTGAGCTGTACACATAGCAAGGTCCACACCCTACTCATTGCACCAGAATTCTAGTCTGGCCCCATGAGCCAAGGGCCCCTTCTGCGCCCAGAACTGCTGGGTGCCACCTCCCCAACTCCCACGTAAGAAGACACATTCCTGCTCACTCTGTCAACAGAGTACTGGACTGGACACGTGGATGGGCGGGGACAGCACTGGGTCAGGCCTGACTTCCCCTAAGCTGAAGGAGGTGGGAGTGAGGGAGAGAGCTGCAACGCTGCACTGGATGTCACCACCTATGACAGAGCCACCAAGGGAGACACTGCAGGCAGCAGGGGCTAATCCTCAAGTTGGGACTAGAAGCAGGGTTCTGGGCTTTTCCCTTTGTAGGAGGGTAAGAATAACCTGGAGAAGGCCAGGCTGGGGAGGTGTCCGTGCTTGAGGCTGGAATCGCAGTACAGGCCCTGTGTCACATGTGTGGCAAGCAGGAGAAACATGGCTCCTCGGCTGTCACTTCAAGGTCATTGGGAAGGACATGATTTTAGAGGTGGGTGGTGTGGCTGCAAGGGACAAAACAGCATCCTTTCTCCAGCCTCCACGCCATACCCCCAGCAGGGACAGCCCCCGCTGGCAGCGCTGTCGCCCGCTCTCCCTCCCTGGCAGCCGGGCAGCACTGGCGCTAGCAGCTAATGGGCCTCCATCAGCACTAATGCCTTGCTGCCTGGCTGTCACCGGCACAGCTTCCTGAGAGCAGCGGTGACCCTACAGTTGGTAGGGAGCAGTGACTACAGCTCTCTGCTCTGAGTATCTTAGGCAATAGGATGAACAAAAGGCAGGCAAACTGAAAGACTGCAGTGGGGAGGGTAGGGGGCGTCCGGCCAACCAGGCTGGGCCCAGCTGGTCCTGCAGTCAGTGCCTTGTGTGGTCACCCCATAGCTGCAGCAAACAACTTTGGTGAAACTGGGGAAAATGGGCAGCCAGAGTCCACTCCTGCCTCATCTCAGGACAGAAGCATCAGGGCCCAAGGGCAGGTATGGCCAGAAATGCACCAGACCAGCACAAACTAGGTCCTGTATGTCTGATGTGTGACCCTTTTACATGCCACATCTAAGCTGACAGGAAGCACAAGTGCCAGCCAGTCTTGTGCCGCATGGAGACAATGATGCCTTGACCCAGTGTGTAGGAGTGACAGTAGAACCTCTCTCGGCACCACCTGGGAGTCCCTGAGCCCCAGCTTTCCTTCTTGCCCATCCCTGCCTCCAATAAACTGTTCCTGCCTCAAGGAATGGCTGTAATTCAAGGGGCAGGGGGCTTCAGGAGCACTCTGGGAAATTCTCTCTTTTCTACATATCAAGAAGAGAAAATAGGTTTGGAGCCATGGTAGTATTTTCTTCTCCCTGTTTGGGGCCTGGATTGGTAGGAAGAGGAAGCACAGGTCTTTCCAGTCCCTTACTCCCTGAGTCCTGTGTGACCTATGTGCCTATCTAGGGGATGGTGGCGGTCAGGGAGAATTGAGGAGACAGAGCAGGAGCCGAGGGTCCTGAATGCCCAGAGAATACAGGAGTTGGTAGTCTGGGGAGAGAGAGTAGCTTCATAGGGAAGGGGTGATTTGGGCCTCCAGGAGGAATGGAGGGTTTTTCAGAGGGGTGGAAGGAGGAGGGAGGGAGAGATAGAGACAGAGACAGAGACAGAGGCAGAGGCAGAGACAGAGGCAGAGAGTGAGGGGAGAGGGAACAGGGGAGAGGAGAGAGAGAGGTCAGCATGAGTCCAGGGGCAGGAAGTGGGCTAGAGTGTTCAGCGTGGTGGAGCACAAGAGAAGGGGGCCAGGGAGTGAGGCTGGACAGGGAGGCAGTATGGGCAGGTCTTGGCACTTCACCTGGTGGGAGCCTTGTATGTGGAGCTACCAGAGAGGGGTCATCTGGAGGGGGCAGCATGGTCTAAATGGTGAACAAGAGCCGGAGGGCCCAGGACACAGTGATGGATGGGGTTGCTGGAGTGGGGAGGGAAAGAAGGGTCTTCTGGCTTCTGGCAAGGGGGTCAGATTAGGGAGTCACTAACTCATTTATTTTCTCATTAGGAAGCATCTGCAGTTGTCCCCAACTGCTATGTGAACTCAGTACTCAGAACCCAGTAAAGGAAGAAAATCACATGTGGGCAAAGCAGGGCAGCCTCTGAGCAGCCTGGGAGGATGGAGATGGAGGCAGGAGACAAGATCACAGGCAGGTGCTCCGGCACCAGAATGCAGCTATAGATCTGCCACCAAGAGGAAACCTCAGGTAGGTCTAGGCACTATGTGCACATCTTATCCTTGGCATCAGGGCCAGGAACAGCCTTGGTTCAGTCTCACGCTGCCCAATAGGAAGAGTCAGGGGTGTCCAGCCTCAGCCAGGAACAGGCTGTTGAGGTACCCTTGCCTCCTGTTCTGCTTCTAGTGACTCACAGCCTGCTCCAAACAGTCTAAACTCCTCAGAACTCTCTCAGCAAGAAAAACTTCTGTGACTGCAACAGCCTCATCTCTGGCCCAGCCTGAGTGCCTCTGGGAAGGACAGACTGCTGTTCAGGGCAGGGCAGGGAGGACATATAGCACCTTTTCCCAGCCTCTCTTCCAGGCTACTGTATTGAAGTCTTGGATGAGACATCTTGAAGTTAAGAGGTTTCTTTGACCCAGGGGCTTGTCTAGAATCTGGGCATCTTTTTTGGGAAGGCCATCTTAAGGCAGGCTGTCCAAGGGGAACCCCACAACTCCTCTGGAGTGACAATGGAGTGACACGCTGATGTATGTACTGAATGCCTCAGTGCTAAGGGGAGCCTGGGAGTTGTGTTAAGCATAGGACAGAGGCTTCTGGCTCTACTCAATGCCCCCTCCCCCCAGTCTCCATCCCCTTCCAGTGAGTCTGGGCAGTGCCCTCTACCCCCATTCCTCATACCCCCTGGTAGGGTAGTATGCCCTAGGTGCTAGGGAGGGTGCTGTGCTCCTTACCTTGATATTATCCTGCCAACGGTGGGCTTTCTGGAAGGTCTCTGCAGCATCAGCCAGTCTCTGAGGGACAAAGCACATGGAGATCAGAGGCTGAGGCGGGTTGTTTGCTCCATAGCCACCTCAAGGCCTTCTCTATTTCCAGCACCCCCTGGAGTCAGGCTGGTTCAAAGCCTCCCTTCTCCTTGCCCCAGCAGATGCCAGAAACTCCTCAGCTCTGATGGTACCCAGCTTACCATGAGAGCATACCCTGTCCACAGCTGGCTTCCCGTAGGATGGGTGAACTGCTACCTCACGGCTTCAGCCCAGTAGTGTCTCCTGCTTGGAGGACAGCAGCAGCACCCAGCCTGGGCCAGCCCCACTGCCACTCTCTATCCCCTACAATCTCATGTCCCCTCCTCAGCCAGTGTGAGGTCACACACTGCCTTGCTGATGCTCTTTTCCAGCAAGGAGTGGACAGAGCCCACCTGAAGGCTCCCTCTCCAGGCTTCCTGAGCCCCTCCCAGAGGGCCTCCAAACTGTCCACACAATCCTGTCCTGTCTTTTGTTGCTGGTTCTAGTGGCCTCTGCCTGTGAGCAGAGGACCTCTGAGAACTCAGCTATGTGCCTGACCCCGCCTCACCTGTCACTGGGCATGTCTGGTGCTAGACTATGCTGATGTGTGAAGATATGGCTGACTCAGCCCTGCCTCTCACATACGACCGGGAGGGGGAAAGTGACACATAATCGGGGTAGCAGTGACTGATATGTAGAAAGCTCTGTGCTGTGGGCACATGACACATCAGGATGGCTTGTGGAGGAGGTGCCTGGGCCCAGCCACCCTCTGGGTCTGAATCCAGCATGCCCATGGATCCTGTCTCTCAGGATGTCTTGGGGCACTAGAAGAGGGAATCAAGTCTATGCTTTTGTAGAGCTGAGTGTAGTGATGTCCTGTCAATCCTAATGACAATCTGTACCACTGGCCACCCACCACAGGCCAAGACTCCTGTAGCCAGTGACATGTTGGTACCACTTCTTGTTCACATGTGCCTGATGTAGTGTCATTACAGCTCTTCCTCTGTAAGCAGGCACAGAATAGTCAGTGGGCTGCCCAAGACTCTGTCACACACAGCCTGGCCCTCACCACTGCCTCGGCCTTGATCAGCCATGACCAAGATCCATGATGCCAAGAGAAGAAGGCTCCGGTTCCTCAAGCCTGCCGCACCAGTTTTTTTTTTTTTTTTTTTTTAATGCATTTAGTACAGAGTTTATAGGGCTTACAAGGTCTTACTATGTAGATTGGACTTGTAGTGATCCTCCTGTTTACAGCCTTCCAAGCACTGGGATTACAGGCGTGTGCCACCATGCCCAGTCTCAGTCGCCTGTCTCAGCATGTCCTGGGGGCAGGGCTGGCACAGCAGGCCCAGGGATCAAACCCGTGGGCCTTGCGTCTGCCCAAGCAGGCACTTTAATCTGCTGAGCTATCTGGCTGGCCCTGCCTCACAGTTTTATGGATGCAGTATGGTCCTGCCTCCAGGCCTCCAGCCTTACTCAGACAACTGTGTTCTATTGGTATTCAGGCCGCCATGTACTCGTCCACAAGTCTAGGATGGACCTGAGCAGAGAGTGTAATAAGGCCTGTTAGCTGCCCACTAGGGGAAAGTGTGAACTAGCACATGGGAGACCAGCCTTTCTTCCTTTGACATGTAGAACGACAGGGTGGGGGCAAGGAAGAACCCTGTGTGGAGCTGTGGCCACTGCGCTGCTGGGTAAGATGTCAGCCCTGGGAGTTAGAGCTATCAGAGCCATACTCACTTCTGATGGGCCTGCCTCCCGCTCCTCAGACCAGGAGCACTAATCATAGGAAAGCTGTGGCTGGGGACTGGGGACAAGGTAAGAAAGTGACTCTCAGCATCAAAGTTTCTCACCTTGCAATGCTGGCCTCTCCTGTCCTCTGCCACCTTTTCCTGTGGGGGTTCTGCCTGCTGCCTACCCTCTGTAGCTGGGCCTGCTTGGGTGGGACTCACACTGCCCTTTAACTCAGTCCTACATTCAAGAGGCTTTAGGGACCATCGGGGCTCTCTGCTCCATGAGGTCTTGGCCCCCCTGAGCACCATGGGATGGGCCTTAGTGTGCCTGAGTTGTACCACCCTCTCTTGGAACAGGCACATCCACTCTGGCACCTCTGTTTCACCTCCCAATCCTGACATCACTAAAACCATTTACTGTCCACCACCAGGGTCTGTTCTGCTTCAGGAACTCATGTCTTCTCTTGTCCTGTCCACGCAACACTGACTCTCATCTCAGAGGAGAGATCTGACCATTTAGCTGTCCTCTGCCTCCAGTCCTTCAGCAAAGCCTACTCCTTTGCATAGAAAAGTAACACTTTCTTAAGGGCCTAAATAAAGGGCCCACCTGTGCCTGACTCCTAGCCTTCCTTTCCCACATCTGGAGGCTTCCTCTTGGCCTAAACCCTAAATATTGCCCTGCGCCCTCAGTTATAGGATTGGGTAAAGCCCCAAATCATCAGCCTGCAGTGGCTTTCTGTGTAGGATAATAATGCATGACCCACTAGGGGCAAGTGGGAGACAGAATGTGGTCGACCAACCTCTGAGACACATTTTCAATACTTGTCATTAGTGTCAACTGTACAGCTACTATGCACCACGTGCCAAGATAGCACTTGGCCTGGAAAGTCCAGGGAGGCAGCCTCAAGAGTGCATCTTGAGGTGTGACCCTTGGGTGATCACTGTGTCCCTCCTTTCCTTACTGAGAGGCCCATTAACTTCCAAGGGATCCAATGCTATCTCAGAGTAGGCCTGAGGCCCACATATGGCTCGGAAAGGACACTGTCCTTCACAGGGCTGACGCTGGGATAAAGCATGAGAACCACATCTCTCACCATAGAAAAGCCACAGAGTAGATGGGCCTGCAGAGTCAAACTAACGCTAGTGGAAGTCTCCAACCTGGGTTGAGGCCTTGAGGAACTATTCCCTGCACCTCTCCATCCACACCTGGCCAGGGATGCCACCTCTATCATCCTCATAGGGCTCAGCTCTGAACTGGGGCTCACAGGCCCAAGAACACAGGGCTGCAGGCTCCTCTGGCTCCATGACTTAGCAGACAATGTGAGGGAGCCCCAGAGAAGGAAGGCCCAGCCCCCAGCCTTCTTGAGCTCTCAGAGTCCCATGAGCTGGAAGGCCCAGGTCAGCCCGATGACTCGTGAATAACAGAGTTGCAATAGCCACAGAGAAAGGATTACTTTTAATCCTCAGTAACGATCAAGCCATTATTATTTTTTTGGTGTTACAGATCAATCAGTCCATCCCTGGGCACTGGACGTGTGCAGACTGCTAACAGGCAGGCCTAGTGCTGCATGGGGAAGGGCCAGGCAGCTGCATGGGATGGAATGGGCTGGCAGCAGGGGCATGAGGTCCCACTAGCTTGAGGGTGAGAGGCCTAGCACTGCCTACCAGGATCTAGAGAGGGAATCACAGCCTAGGCCCTAGCCTGAGATAAAAGTTTCTTCCTCAAGCAGTGGCTTCCCCTTTGTGGCCCTCAGGATCCTGCTGTGAATTGGTGATAGCAACTATATCCACTCAGTGGGCAGGTTCTTGACAGCCCCTTCTGTCAACCACAGCAGTTGTTCTTAGGGTCCTGTTCACTAGAATTTCTCCTGTGGGCTCTTATCCAACTCAGGGCCTTTCTTTCATATCCACTTTTTCTGCTGGTCAGCCCTATTGGATTGTGTCACCTTCTCCAGAAGATTCCTTTTGCCCTAGTTCAGTCCGTGGGCATCCCCTCCCCCCATTCAGGGACCTCTAAGTTTTGCCCCACCTTCCTAACCAGGTGAGATATTCAGAGCCTTGGGGTCCTCCCCTCATAAAGCCCACAGTGGTCAGATCTGCCCAGGAATGGCCAGGAGGTCATGCTCACACTGCCCTAGTTCATCCTTCTAGCACGTCCCTCCTACTTCTCCTGTGTCCTCCTGATGGCAGGGTGGGAAAAAAGGAGCCTCAGAGGTGCGAGAAGACCTACTAGGGTGCCTAGGAAGCAGGGGTTGAGTAGGCTTGGTCCTATCCCCAGGGTGCCTGCTGTTCCTAGCCCTGACCCTGAGTGCCAGCTCTCCTGGGACTCTTACACTCTTACAGGAACCTGCTCAGAACCCGGACTCAGCTCTCAGAGCCACCTGTAGTCCCTGGTCATCCTGCTCCCAGGCCCCCATCCATAGTGCTCCCTCCCTGTTCACTTCTGCCCAATCTTCTAGCCCAGTTTACTCCCATACCCTACAAGGGCCCCACTCAGGGAGCCCTCTGTCAAGTCTGCCTTTCCCTAAACTCGAGCTCCATGGGGACGTGGCTGGTGGTTGTCAAGCATATAATCACCTGACCCCTGGGGCTGGTGAGATGGCTCAGTGGTCTAAAGCACCTACTTAGAACAAGCTTAGCAAAGCACAGGGACCGCAGTTCAATCCCCCAGCACCACGTGCCAGCCAGCCCCACCCCCTGGTGGGCTGAACTGCCCCCCCAATAAATAAAATTAAAAAAAAAAATCACCTGACCCCTGTTACACAGCAGGTGCTCAATAGATGTCTGCTCTGTCAAGGTCACGGCCTCTCTGCACCTGTGTGGAGCCCTGGGCTTGAGTTTGGCTCTTCTGGACAGGTATTAACCCCAAGCGAGTGGTTAACCTCCTTAAGCCTCTTTTCCTCAACACATCCTAGGCAGTGAGGGATGCCTATGAGGATGCTGCTGCTATACAGTCACCCATGGTGTCTCACCTGACCTGTGTGTCCCTGTCATGGCCATGGTACTGGAGGAAAGCATGGTGGGGTTGCTGAGCAGGGCTGCTCACAGCTGAGTCCATCATGGCAGCAGTGAGCCTTTCAGAGGCAATTATCAGAGAGTTTCATTTAACAATCAATTTCCCTTAGCTCTGGGAACCCCTCTTACAGGAAAAGGCAAGAAAGCAGGGGACTGACAGTGCACTGGGCTGGGGAAAACACTCCCCTAGGGAGCAGCCCCGCCACTTGTACCTTTAAATCCTGCTAAATTCAACATCTTTAACTTCAGGGAGCTGGGGCT